GTCCCTGAAATTATCTTATTGTGCCCCCATTACCGACATTTTCAATAATTTCAGCACAACAATTCAATTGCGCATTCCGAGATGCATAACTTCATAATGAATATTATCTTCAATCTCTGTGCAGAACCAGCTCCTTGTAAATGCGAACGCATCTCCTTGAAAGAGAGTGCTGAACTAAGCTGTTATTCATCGGTGCTGAAGACGAAATGAGGGCATTGTTTGTTCTTAGTAGGTTCACTAATCACAGCTGACTTTGATCGAAGTCAGGAAAAGGTCTACAAATGTTTTAAAAATAAATTACAACGAAAAGAAGTTCGAAAAACCCTGGAAGTAGGCTCGAGGGATTCAGAAAACTCGTTAATGCAAGCGACAATAGTCTTGCATGCTCATCAGATCAAATATTCATTAGGTCAATTGATCATAGGTTAAATGCCCATTAAGTGACCTATAGTACCAAAGGGTGTTTTGCAGAAATGAACACAAAGCATGCATATTGAATGAATAAAACACGCCTTGACAAGCCATGCCAAAAAGAAGATCAATGTAACAAAGTAGAAGAAAGCAATATAAGAAGGAAATGTGTCGAGGCAATCGTAGAGAACGTAGACCCATCCTTCTTGAGATGCTGCCAAATAAACTGTGAAAAGACTCGTTCCTGAAAGACAGTACTGCTTCTTCGGTAATTAAAGAAGGATTCGCTCAAACGATTGATTACATTCGTAAAATAAACGGTTAATTGAAGATGCACAATGAAGAATTTCTTAGGTATGCAACAAAAAACGTTTGCGAGATNTTCGTAAAATAAACGGTTAATTGAAGATGCACAATGAAGAATTTCTTAGGTATGCAACAAAAAACGTTTGCGAGATTGCAGTGTGAAGTTTTTGTTTGAAGGTGGATTGAATGAGGAGATTATTACCGAAGTCATTGAACATTCCATAGAAGCCTTCAGCATGCGCACTCATATCCAACTTGACACATTCCATATTGCCGGGACATTCATATCCTCCAGCACCCTTTTGGGAGCACATTGTATCGGGAATTGCAAGGTCGGCGATAGTTACATTTGATACATTCGTTCCGGGCAACACACAATGATAGTCCATACGACCGAACAATTGCACTCCCATAATTGCATAAAAGGCCATAAAAAACATGAAGAATATTGTAACATTTTGAATCTGTTGCGATGATCTTCTGAAATTTTTTTCATTCTCCGTTGTTTGCTTCTTCATTATGAAACTTTGTCATGTCATTATGTAACAACTTGTTAGGTTTGTTATGAACATTCTAAAAAGTGTCAACTCGGTGTGTGTGCAAAAATATTGCCGAAAATTTGCTCGACTCAAAAATCATCGGCAAGAGAACTGGAAAAGCGTCGACGAAAAACTAGATGAATATTGACTAATTTAAGAACTACAATTGTACATGAGCTGGAGCTAAAGTGCTGACAGCTGAAGTTGCCCGATGTAATCCAAGAGTGAGGTGAATCCCAACTAGCGTACAGCTTCATATTGACACCTCGAGGGGCTATTTGGAATGAGTAACCTGCTATTTGGTATGAAAAAAGCGATGGGGACATTTTTGCGGTCATTCTGTCATTAATCTGCCACTTAAATCATTGTTTCATCGATACCTTTCCAGTTGTTCTGTCAACATGTTTCCACTTGAACGATTTTTTGTTCATTCTCTTCCATTCGAGAAAGTTTTCTTCAACTTTTCCACAAACCCACTTTTTGGACACTTTATGCTATCCTCCTGTTATGTTCACTATGAAATTTATTCGCCCGTTTATATGCATATGTGCATCACACAGCCAGACCCTTAAGTTTTAAGCTCATTCGATTTGATTTCCCTTCCTCTTATTACATGCAGGTAGATTTTAAAAACGTCTGACTTGATGATCTGTTGGATCCGATTTTTTGGCAGTTGGAATCGAACCACTGAACGAATGAATCGAATCATTACGAATGGTCTCGGCGACCGCACAACGCAATACCATTGATGATATTGTAAACCGAATTGTGGAAACCAAATCGTTATTAATTGATACACATCAAGACTCAATGATATCAGGTGTAGCACAAGGAGAAAAAACTCGAACTGACACCATCGATCACGTAGATAACTTTTATCAACCTAAAAAATTCAGCTTCCCTTCTTCATCTCCTCTAAATAACATATGTGAATAATCTGTGAAACGTTCAAAACACTGACGATCACTGAGTTCGAATATCAACTTTGAAATCTAAAAATATGCTGGGAAGTAAGCAAAACTATGAGGTGAGTGCTGTGCAAACCGCAATAAGTCCATTAGTTGCGACTTTGATGATCGCTTCGATAAGGAATAGTACAGTTGCTATAGCATCTGTCATGATAATCACATAGAATAGTGGTGGAAAGAATGAGATGGT